CTGCCCAGCCCGGCCTCCCATGCCCTTGGTCTGGGCCTTCTCCACTCCCCAGCCCACTCGAGCAAATTGATGAACAACGGGAGGACAGTGCAGTGCAGTGCTTTTTGGGTCACCCCTGGCAGTGCTCGGGGGTTCCTCCTGGCTCTGCACTCAGGAATTACTCCTGGTGGTGCTCAGGGGATGCTGGGAATCGAAACCGGGTCAGCCACGTGCAAAGCAAACGCCTTACCTGCTGTGCTCTATCCGACCCCTGCATTTAGGCTTTTGCTCTCTTTGTTGCATTTAATCCTCAGAGCACTTGGCAAGGGAGGCATGCTTGCAGAGGACAACTGGAAGGCTTCTTTGAGGAAACTGAGGCCCAGTGAGCCCTGGGGGCACGGGGTGGGTGTTTGTGTCTCCCACCAGCCCTGCACTCGGAGCTCTGTCTGGGCGCCCACCATGCCAGCGCTCTGCTGAAATGCTGCCATCCTCTGAGGGCACACGGCCCAGCACTCAGAACCTCCCTCCCCCTGCTGGGAACCCTTCCCTCTCTGCAAGGGCAGGAACGAAATCCACCCAGACACAGTAACACAGGCCCCCAAACCTGGCGCATACCCCCACACACATCTCGGGCAGAATCCCGCAAGAAAACAGGCTCCATGCTCCCGGGCTGTGTGCCCTCGGACTGATGGCTCGGCCTCTCTGTGCCTACCTGTTCCTCCACAGAATGGACTCTATGGTGAGCATTGGTGGGGACCACCACCGCACAGGCCTGGCATGCAGACAGGGTTCACCACACGCCACCCTCTTCCTTCCAACCCCCAGGAGGAAGAGGGGAGACAGGTGGGAAGTGGTCCAGCCTCCTGGAAGCCCCAAGTCCACTTGGCCCCAAAGAAAGGACCAGGACAGACCAAAAGGTTTCCGTGTCCGTCCCAGTGAGACCACCGCGATGCCCGAGGCTCAGGGAGAGAAATGCCTGAATCTTGGGGCGACCTCTCAAACCCCAGCGGGAGACCCAGCTGCAGCAGGTGGTGAGTCTAAGGAACCGTCTGCACCCAGGTGCGAGCCAGGCACAGGCGTCAGGCCTGGAGACGGAATCTGGAGCTGTCTGTGGCTGGGCCGCCCATGTGGGCGGCAAGTAAACAGGCTCCATGCTCCCGCCTCTGTCTGAGGTCCCCGACAGAGGCTTGGGACCTCAGACAGAGAAGAAGGTGCGTGCCTCGCCCACAGGTGTGTCCGCGAGCCTGGTCCCCGTCCAGGCACTACAGAAAGTCCTGGCACAGGCCCAGAGCAGCCTCTGCAAGCAGAACCATGAGCACTGCTGCCGGGGCCCAGACAGAACCACAGGATGAAACCCCCAGGGGTGGCCGTGAACTGGAGACTCAGGGCCCCAGGCCTGTGGGCGCCATCCTGAGTGGACCTGCCCAGGACCCTCGCACACTTGGGTGGGGGGTGGCTGGGAGAGAGCCGGGCTATGGGATCGAAGGTCTGGAGTAGTGGGGCCCCGAATTCAACCCCCAGATCACACAGAGCCCCCAAGCCCCCCCCCCAGTGTGTGACCCAAGCATTGACCCCGCCAACCAGGTTGGAGAAGTACCACTGGGAAAAGCCCTGGACCCCCTGAGTATTGCTGGGAGCACTCCCCAAAGGGAGTCCTAGATAGGTTGGAAACCGATTTAAAGGGCGACACACGTGATCATCACGCGTGGGAGCCTGAGTGCAAACCCCATCGCCATGTGGACCCCCAGCTCCATCAGGGATAACCACGGTGGACCCCAACATCGCAGGGCTGGATCTGCGTTGCCTGCCACCCATCCCCATCAGTTGGGGTGGGGCTGGGGGCCCCTTAAAATTCTTTTTTGTGGGCTGGAGTGATAGTACAGCGGGGAGGGCATTTGCCTTGCAAACAGCCGACCTGGGTTCGGTTCCCTGCTTCCCAAATGGTCTCTCGAGCACCGCCAGGAATAATTCCTGAGTGCATGAGCCAGGAGTAATCCCTGTGCATCGCCAGGTATGACCCAAAAAGCCTAAATAAATAAATAAAATTTTAAAAAAATCCTTTTTATGGGCTGTAGCAATGATACAGCAGGTAGGGTGTTTGCTTTGCATGCGACCAACCAAGGTTCAATCCCCGGCATCCCATATGGTCCCCCAAGCACTGCCAGGAGTAATTTCTGAGTGCATGAGCCAGGAGGAACCCCTGAGCATCGCCGGGTGTGATCGAAAAATAAAAAAAATTCTTTTTTGTTTTTCTTCTTTTCAATTTTATTTTTATAAAGCTGTTCACAATATTTGATTACATTTACTGTTCGAACACCAAGCCCGCCACCATTACACCTTCCCATCACCATATTTTCATCCCGAACCCTGAACCCTGCCCCCAAGGCAAAACAACAATAATTTATTTTATATTACTTGTAGGACTGGACTGACTGGAGCGATAGCACAGCGAGTAGGGCATTTACCTTGCATGCAGCCAACCTGGCTGACCCGATTTCGATTCCTCCGCCCCTCTCGGAGAGCCCGGCAAGCTACCAAGAGTATCTCGCCTGCACAGCAGAGCCTGGCAAGCTCCCGTGACGTATTCGATATGCCAGACACAGTAACAACAAGTCTCACGATGGAGACGTTTCTGGACCCACTCGAGCAAATCGATAAACAATGGGAGGACAGTGACAGTGACATTGCCTGTTATAAAAAAAATTATTTTTTGGAGCTGGAGTAACACTATAGTGGAGAGGGCACTTGCCCCACTTACAACCAACCCCGCTTTGAATCCCAACACCCCATATGGTCCCCTGAGCCCACCAGGAGTGATTCCTGAGTGCAGGATCAGGAGTCAGCCGTGAGCATGGCCCGGTGTGACCCAAAAGCAAAACAAAACAAAAAAATCTTGTTTGGAGCTGGAGATATAGTTAAGCAGTTAGGGCACTTGCCTTGCACGCGGCTGACCCGGGTTCGATCCCCGGCATCCCACATGGTCCCCCAAGCGCTGCCAGGAGTAATTCCTGAGTGCAGAGCCAGGAGGAACCTCTGAGCACTGCCGGGTTGGGCTTCCAAAAAAATTTTTTTTAATTTTATTTTAATGAATCACCATGAGATACAGTTATAGACTTACAAACTTTCGTGATCAGGTTTCAGTCATACAATGGTTGAGTACCCATCCTTCCACCAGTGCCCATTCTCCACCACCAATGTCCCCAGTTTCCCCCCCTCCACCCCCACCCCTTCCCACCTCCTGCCTCTGAGGCAGGAAAAAATTATTTTTGTAATGAGACCTGGTTGGATTCCCGGTCAGACCCACACAGCACCCCAAACTTTGTTGCCCCTCACCCACTTCCGACACACACAGGCCTCAGTACCTCCGGCCTCCGACACTCCAATCCCTTCCCTGCCTCTGGCCTGAATCTCTGACTCAGGGAGCCAAAGAGGATCAAGGGATGAGGGAGAGAGAGGGGGGGGAGAGAGAAAGAGGGAGAGAGAGGGAGGGAGAGAGAGAAAGGATCAAGGGATGAGGGGAAAATAGAAGAAAAGAGAGAGGGATGGAGAGGGAGAGAGAAGGAGAGAGGGGGAGAGAGGGAGAGAGAGAGGGAGGAGAGGGAAAGAGAGAAGAGGATCGAGGGTTGAAGGGATATGAGAGAGAGAGAGAGAGTGAGTGAGAAGGAGGGAGGGAGGGAGGGAGGGAGAAGGAGGGAGGGAGGGAGGGAGAGCGACCCCTCCATCTTTCCTCCCCACACAAGGCAAATCCCCCCCAAGCGCTTTTCAGGCCCCGGGAAAGGTGGCTCCAGCCGGGAAAGGGATCTGGCGGCTCGGGGTGCCGGGGGCCTGGTGCCTTATCTGAGTCTCGGGGACAAGCATTTTTGCATTTATTCCCCCAAATGTGTTGCCGAATTACGTTCCAGTCCATGGCTCCCAGCCATCTGCAGAGAGAAATCCAGTTAGACCTTGTATAATAAGTTCCTGACAATCTTGCCGGGGACGCTGGGTCATAAAAGTCTCCTGGTTTTATCGCCGGTAACAGACACGGAGTGAAATTAAGTTGTCTTATCAAATTTAGATAATATATATCCCTCTGGAGGAGAAGAGCCCGCATGGGGCTTTCGTGGCATGAGCCCGGAGGGGCGAGGGGAGCGGGGTGGGGGGTGCTTGGAAGGGCCACAGGCTGGGCCCTTGCTGGACCGTCCCACCCAGTGCCTGCCCGGGAGAGCCAGGGCGCCCCTGCCTGCCAGGCCCGGTTGAACTTTGAGTGCCAGCTCTGTCACTTGCCCGCAGACAGGGTCGACTCAGCTCCCGAAAACCTCAGTTTCCTCATCTGCGAAGGGGGCGTGGCAGCCAGCCTCTTCCTTCCACAGTGCTCAGAAGACTCCTCTCTCCCTTCACAATTGGTGCGGCAGGGACCAGGCATGGGGGGCTGGGGGTGACGTCGGAGACCACCCAGGAGGGTGCTGTCAGGAACACCGCAGGCACCCGGGTGGTGCTGGGATGTGCTCAGCCTCAGGCCTCTTGCACCACCTCCTTGGGCCCTACTGGGAGGTTTAAATGAGATGCAACGTGGAACAGGAAGCCCAAGAGCAAGCTGGGGTGGGAGAAGGTCCATCCTTCCCCATCTTACAGAGACGGGGGAGTGTGGACCGGGGTCACACCTGCAAAGGGGGTTCCCAAGTCACCCTCACGGGAAGGGATGGACCTTCTCAGCTACCTCCCAACCTGATTTGGGGCCTGTCAGGGGCTCTGGGCAGGGAGGGGATGGGGGTGTCTCTTCTGTCCCCAGTGATCCTGACCCCCAGTGCTGTGATGGGCCAGCCTGTCTTCCTTAGGCCTGTCCAGTTGACCTGGGAAACTTGTCCCCAGAGGGAGGTCACCCGCCTTCACCGCCAGAGTCTGGCTGTCAGAACTGACCCCTCGGAGTCAGCCCCACCCCTGCGCATACCTCCAGTGTCGGGGGACTCACTACCTCGCTTCCTGGACAGGGAGAGCAGGCCGGGGCCCCGCCCGGGCTTCAAACACCCCCAGCCTCCCACGCTGCTTGAGAACCACCCACAGCTTTGGCTGTGGCAGGGGACGAGACTTAGCACCCAGAGCCGGGGGGCCTTGGCTCACCACGCACGCTCTGGTGAGGTGAAACCTGGGTGCCAAAGTGACACCGTAATGCCAATAACCTCCTGCCACCATGCCCCCCAACCCTCTACTGCCCACAGCAGGCCCCGAGAACCCCAGCCTGAGCCCCAGGAAGAGCAAAGCTGGGATTTTCTTTTTTTTTTTATTTTTTGTGGGTTTTTTTTTTTTTTTTTTTGCTTTTTGCCTTTTTGGGTCACACCTGACGATGCTCAGGGGTTCCTCCTGGCTCATGCACTCAGGAATGACTCCTGGCGGTGCTCAAAGGACCCTATGGGATGCTGAGATTCGAACCTGGGTCGGCCCCGTGCAAGGCAGACAAACGCCCTCCCCACTGTGCTATCGCTCCAGCCCCGAAGCTGAGATTTTCAATGAAGTGGTTGGTCAAGTAAGACGGAGCTAGAATGAGGACAACCCCACCCCAAACTCATTCACTGGACTTGATCGTTCACTGTGGTGGGAATGTGAACTGGCTCAGGCTCTGTGGGGCCAGGATGAAGATGAGATTTCTCCAAAAACTGAGAATAGGGGCTGGAGAGAGAGAACATTGAGGAAGGAGCTCGCCTGGTAAGTGCCCAACCTGAACTTGATCGCTGGCAACCCAGAGAGTCTTCTGAGCACTGCCAAGAGTGATCCCTGAGCACCGAACTCAAGAATAAGCCCTGCTGAACGCCGCCAGGTGTGGCCCCCCCCCAAAAAAAAACAAAAAACTGCACATCCGCTCCTAAGTATCACCCCAAAAACATTTTTAAAAAACACTCCCTGGGGGCTGGAGCGATAGCACAGCAGGGAGGGCCTTTGCCTTGCACACAGCCGACCCAGGTTCGATTCCCAGCATCCCATAGGGTCCCCTGAGCACCGCCAGGAGTAATTCCTGAGTGCAAAGCCAGGAGTAACCCCTGTGCATCTCCGGGTGTGACCCAAAAAGAAAAAAAAATACTCCCTGCCACACCTGAGTACATTGCATAAACTCATTTAATTATACCTTTAAGATGCATCGCTTGCTCTAATTCACAGAAGGAAACCCAAGGCACAGAGAGGTGAGGTAGCTGGCTCTAGGTGGTACAGCCAGGACATCGGCGAGCCAGGAAGTCGATGCAGCCGGTGGCTCTTCCCTCCCAGGTAGGTACTGCACAGGAGAGCTCTGAGCAGAGAAGGTGGGGGCCAGGGGGCGGAGGGGTGGGGAGGTAGAGGGGGAGCACACCTCCATCTCCTGACCAGACGGGCTCCCGGAGGGCAGAAATGGATGTTACTTTGTTACTTGTCTCTCCCTCCTCAGCACTTATCTCCAAGCTGGGCAAACACTGAGTGCCCAATAAATGCTTCCAAGGAACTGTTTTCTCATCAGAGATCTATTTTTCTCCCCCTTGAGTTTAAAAGCTCAGAACAAAATCCTGTTCGTGTCTACAGAGCCGTCACTAGTCCACCCGCATGGATGGGGGTGGAAGGCGCCCCCCCCCCCCCCACAGGTGCCGGCTCAGGACACGGTTTGGTTAGCGAACGCCCCCTGTGCACCCGCACCAGGGGCCAGAGGACAGGCACCCCTGCCCTAAGGAGAGAACCGTTGTCAGCTCACAGCCTGAACCACCAGCCCTGGAAACGCCTGCTCCAGCTCCCAGAACTGAGGCTGAACCACCCGCTCAGGTGAGCGTTTGCTGAACGACTGTGTTTGCTCCTTCCCGGGCTGCCTCAGAGGGTCTGAGCTCCAGGACAGCGTTGGGTGGCAGAGCCACCAGCTGGGTGTCATGGTGACGGGAGTTTGCAGACATAAGAGGGACAGGGTCAGGCATAATTGGTAAATATTTGTCTATCTAATCAGAGGGCCTTTTAGCTAGCAATTGCATCCCTGCAACTGTGTTTTTTTTTCTTTTTTAATTTCTGCAGGAAGTCAATTAAACCTAACAGATGGAGGAGAACATGGGGGTTTCCTCGGCTTCCACCATCTGTCCCGTCCCCCCCCCCCAGCTGTGCCCAGACCTCATTGGAGGAACTGCCTGCCAGTGTCCAAAGAAGGGTGGGCCTGGTGCGAAGGGGCGTGGTCTCTGACCCTCCTGCCGCCTGCCAGGCTGGTCCCGCTCTCCCAGGACCCCACACAGCCAGTGGACCCTGTTGGCACAGCCTGAGTCTAGAACCGGAGCCGCTTGGCCGGCCCACCCCGGGGCCGCGGTCACAGACAGAATGCTGGCGTTAGCCGGCTTTAGCCTCCTCCAGGGGCCAGCTGGGGCCCAGGCTGAGGTCACGCTCGCCTGACTGACCTCAATGTAGTGTCTGGTCTCTTCCAGGCGATGTGTGGGGCCCTGGGGACCCCCAACAGACAACCACCGCTTTCAGGAACGTGTCCTCCGCTGGGGAGAGCGTTCATTCATTCCCTCACTTATTCTTAAAATATTTACAAGCAGCTTGTGCACGCCAAGCTCCGTGCTAGGCCCTGAGGACCCGGTGATGAATCCGGCCATTCCCCAACTTTAAATAACTCCGTTAAGCAAAGGAGACAGACCCATAAATCCCCGCGTTCGATAAGCACTTATTGAGCGGCTCCAGGAGCCAAGCCGTGCTCCCGTGCTGGGGACAGGCGCGGACAGCCCACGCACACGGCCATCCTGGACCATCACCAGGGCTGACCAGCCGTCTGAAAACAAAGTAACCAGGGGTGCGTGTGTGTGTTTGCGTGTGTGTGTGTGTGTGTGTGTGCGTGTGTGTATCCGCACACACAAGGGGAGTATGCATGAGTATGTGCATGTGTGTGCATGTGTGTGTACAAGTATATGTGTGCCGTGTGCGTGTGTGCATGTGAGAGTGTGTGCATGTGTGTGCACATGTGTGCATGTGTGTGTGCGCACGTGCACATGTGTGTGTGTTATGGGCCCTAACTGAGGCCTGGAAAACTCCAGTCCTGGCCTAGCCCCCTCATGAGGCCGCTGCTCCCGGCTGCCTGTCCCCAGGCCACATAATCCGTTTCCCCACCCGCCCAAGAGGGGCCTTTGCTGCTGCGGGAGGAGACGGCACGTCTAGCCTGGGCGCAGGCCGAGTGTGACCTGGGTGTAAGAATGAGTGTGACGTGGGCGTGAGGCTGAGTGTGACGTGGGCATGAGGCTGAGTGTGACTTGGACATAAGGCTCAGTGTGACGTGGTGTGAGACTGAGTGTGACGTGGGCGTGAGGCTGAGTGTGACCTCGAAGTTGTGAAGCTCACACCGTCTCGTCTTCCCCCCACGCCTGCCCGCTGTGACCCTTCCACTCCTCGGCTCCGCCTTCCCGCTTTCCTCCCCCATCCTGGACTTCTCTCCTTCGTTGTTCGTGTTTGCTTTTCACCCCGGCAGTGCTCAGCCTTACTCCAGCTCTGAGCTCAGGGGTCACTCCGGCAGGGCTCAGAGGAGCCATCGGTGGTGGCGGAGTCACACCCAGGTAGGCTGTGGGCAAGGCCAGCACCTCCACCCGCACCCCTGTCCTCTCCCTTTGGCCACTGGCTTTATCTTTTCTTTTTAATTTTAAAATTGTATTTTCATAAGGTTGTTGACATTAATTGATTACATTCAAGATTTCAACACCAATCCCCCCACCATTCAACACCTTCCCATAACCATTATTTCAAATTCCACCCCCCCCCCCACCACACACACACACCATTCAAGCCTGCCTGCCACAGGCAGAAGCTAGATACTTTAGTTACTTTATTTTCTATTGTTTATTATGAATGGGCTAAAGCGATAGCACAGTGGTAGGGCGTTCGCCTTACAATCGGCCAACATGGCCGACCCGAGTTCGATTCCTCTGCCCCTCTCAGAGAGCCCAGCAAGCTACCGAGAGTATCTCGCCCGCACGGCAGGGCCTGGCAAGCTCCCCGTGACGTATTCGAGATGCCAGACACAGTAACAACAAAGTCTCCAATGGAGACGTTACTGGGCCCGCTCGAGCAAATCGACGATCAACGGGAGGGCCTTTACCTTTTAACTTTACCTTATTATGAATATCATGAGAGGCTGCATGGCCGCTTTTGTGGCCACACAGTCCTGGAATTCTAAAATTGTAAATCATTGCGGTCCAGAGACATTTCTAGTTCATTCTGAGATTCATTTGTGAGTCTCTGGATCAAGGCTGCTAACGTGCTGAGATGGTGCCCAGAGGCAGTTCGTGGGCGTGACAGCCAGGACCTCAACGGGGCAGGGAGATAGGAATGAATGGCCTGCCCCAGCTGCCACCATGTGGCCTGGAGTCTTCAGTCCCTGGCCCCACGTACCTGGGTTTTTCTTCTGCAAGTTTGTGGCCACCAGGGGTTCATCTGGAGTGGGTGGAGAGGGGATGCCCACTCCATCTGAGGTGCCCTGGTGAAATCAGCTCAGCACAGAGTCCAGAGAAATTTCCAATAAGCTGCTGTCTTCTGAGATTCACTGCTGAGTCTCTGGATCAAAACCATTGACGCACTTAAATACGCTTTTTCTTTTCATGATCACTTTTCACTGTATTTTCTTCACACCATCAGTGAGATACAGTCATGTAGCATAATATCCATCCTTTTAAAATGTGCATTTCAGGGCTGGAGCAATAGCATAGCAGGTAAGGCATTTGCCTTGCACGCGGCCAACTGGGGTTCAATTCCCAGCATCCCGTAGGGTTCCCCGAGCACTGCCGGGGCTGATTCCTGAGTGCAGAGCCAGGAGGAAACCCTGAGCATCGACGGGTGTGACCCAAAAAGAAAAAAAAATTAAATGTACATTTCAGGGGAGGGAGAAATAATACAGGGATTAAGGCACTTGCCTTGCATGTTGCAGACCCTGGTTCGATTCCTGGCACTGCATAGGAGCCAGAAGTGCTCCCTGAGCACCACCTTATAGCCCAAACACCCTAATAAATAAGTAAAGAATTCAAAGTATGCATTGCAATGTGTGATGGGTTTTTTAAAGCCTATTTATAGTGATAAACGAACATTCCCATTATCTATTTTTTTTTTAATTTTTGGGTCGTGCCCAGCAATGCTCAGGACTTACTCCTGACTCTGCACTCAGGGAGCACCCTTGGTGGTCTCAGGG